TCGCTGCCGGCGTGGTCCGGCGAGCCGCAGGTGCTGCAGGTCGAGGACTGGGACGACGGAACGGGTGCGGCCGTGTTCATGACCGTGTGTGAGTAAGCGTAAGCGCAGCGTGTGTGTGGAGTGTGGAGTGTGTGAGAGCGGAGCGCGGAGATGGGGCGGAGCAGAGCGACCCTCAAATGGAGAGGCCGCGGAGTGCAGCGCGCGGCTGTCTTGCCTCCTTGCCTTTTGTTTCCTTTTCGGGATAAGAGCGACCGACAGACAGACAGACAGACAGACAGACAGACAGACATCCGGTCCGGATCAACGCTTGCCCCCGAACCCTTCCATGTCACCCACTTACCCTTCACACACCACTCGCAGACGCCGATGCGCCCACGTTCGTGTGGCCGACCGAGGCCGACCTGGTCGGCATGGCCAACAAGCTGCACGCCATCTCCGTCAACACGGGCAGGCAGGTCTTTCTGCGCTACCTGCCCGAGATGGACGGCCCGTGGATGAAGTACGGCGCGCAGGTAGCTAGACTTCCACTCCATTGAACAGTGCAAAACCACCACTCGTAACTCACAACGCGCAAACTCCCACACACACACACACACGCAACGCACATGATATCGCAGCCCGTCCAGCTCGTTGCAAACTGGAAACTGATGGCCTCGGTTGTCCGCCGCATCGCCCCCGAAGTCAGCATCGTGTGGTCGCCAAACTTTGACTTCGAAAACCGCGGAGGCGCCGCCTTCTGGCCCGGCCCAGAGTACGTCGACTGGGTCGGCACGTCGCAGTACTGGAAATGTATGGAGTGGTTTTGATTCTCTCTTATTGCGGGGGCTGCTTGGGCATCCTCCTTAATCCGACCGTCCAAAACCCCAACCACAAATACGTTCACCTCACACATAGCCTCGCACATGGGCTTCCCCGGCAACGCACCCGTCTCGGCGGGCTTCTTTTCCGAAAAGATCGACTTTATCTACCAAAACTACGCCGTGGTCTACAACAAGCCGTTCTGCATCTCCGAGGCGTCGTACGCCTGGGAAATATCGCTCGAGGGCAACCCGCCGTTTGTGAACAATGTCACCCAGGCCGCCGCGCAGCAGGTGTGTGTTCATGGCTGTGGGAAAAGGGTTTTGCCGCGCCCGGCCTCTAACCATTCTCATTCGGTTATTTCCTTTTGAAAAGGCGTACTGGTCCCAAGTCTTTGACGTTGACTTTCTCGACGCGCACCCGCTCTTCAAAATGGCGTTCGTTTTTGAATACAAAAAGGTGATTTTTGTGATTGCACGAAAACGACCCTAATCCACTCACACGTCAAACCCTCACACTCCACACCCCAGGTCGAAGACAACATGTACCGCGACTTCCGCGTCTCCTGGGACCCGGCCACCCTCGCGGGCGTCCAGGCCGCCCTGCAGCCCCTCATCGACGCCGGCCGCCTCGCCATCGCCGGAAACAAACCAAAGCCGTCGTCGTCGTCTTCGTCGTCTTGGTCGAAAACGACGTCGACGACGAGTACGTCCGCGGTAGTGTCGAGCGTCTCGTCGACGACAAAGAGCGCGGCGGTGCGGGGAAGTACTGCCCGGGGGCTGGGGTGGAGTGCGGTCGTGGCCGCGGTAGCGGTCGGGTGTGTGGGTTTGGCGTGATTTCTGTCCAGCCCCCTCGCTGCATTATTTTTTATTTTGGAGCGCGACTCCCTCTCCTTTTGCTACTCTTCTTGACAAGCCGTTCGTACTCCTTTGTTTTTTGTTTTCTATAGTTCCATAGATGGCCCTGTTGTGCTCTTTTCGCTTGCCCGAACTGCGTTGTTCCTCCCCTGCCTTGTTTTTATTTTTTTTTTTTTTCTGGGGCCTCTTTTCTCGTTGCATTTCTCGCGCTTTTTGAGCCTCTTTCTAGAAAAACGCAAACCCCCGAATGTATATTGGGGCAATTTCTCGAAGAAAAAATACTCGTTGGGGAAATGAGTGATTCGTAATTTGGGCCAGGGAAGGAGAGTCGAGCACGAACAAAAAGTCTGCACAGTGATTGAGGACTGACGAAGGTTCCGTGTATTATGAAAAGGAGCCAAGGCAAGAAGGGAGGGTGCAAAATTGGATGGATGTGTACAGCGCTGGATCGAAGGAACGAAGGACTCGGCACGCTTCCCTACTTTCAACGTTGAATGTGACGGGCAGACACGTGCGCTGTCGACAATGGAGGCGCCTTTCAGCAGTGGGGTTTGTCGATGGAAGGGCGTTCCAGAAGGGATGGGGCGGTGCTTGGTGCCACCTGCGGGTGAAACTGAGCCACGCCTCAAACAGTCACACACACACACACGCACGCACACAGACACACACACATTCTCTCTTCTCTCTCTCTTCTCTCTCTCTCTCTCTCTCTCTCTCTCTCTCTCTCTCTCTCTCTCTCTCTCTCTCTCTCTCTCTCTCTCTCTCTCTCACTCTCTCTCACTCACACGCACGCACACACACACACACACACTCTCTCTCTCTCTCTCTGAGAGGGGGTCCTCGTTCTCTCGCTCGTTGCCGCCACCCCCACCCTCATGATGCCGTCCCCCAGACCGCCCAACCCCACCCGCACCCTCGCCACCAACACTCTCCTCACCGTCTACTTCCTCCTCCTCCTCCTCCTACCCCTCGCCACCACGGCAGCCGCCCCAACTGACCCCTTCCTCCTCGGCCCCTGGCTCAACACCGGCGAGTACCCCCACCGACGTCGACTCCCCCGCAAAATGGAACCAGCGCCTCGGCTTCCCCGCCCCGGCCTTCCAGCTTCGCATGTCCGTCCCAGCGTGGAAGGGCGAGCCGACCGTGCTGCAGGTCGAGGACTGGGACGACGGGACGGGCGCCGCCGTGTTTATGACTGTTTGTCAGTTGACTTCTTTCCTTTATTTTTTTTTTTTTTCCTTTGCCGGGGTAATCGGATGATTTTTTGACAGACGCGGACTCGCCGGCGTACGTCTGGCCCACGGACGACGACCTGACGGCCATGGCGACGAAGCTGAGGAATATCACGGACAAGATGGGCCGCGCCGTGTTCCTGCGGTACCTCCCTGAAATGAACGGCGTGTGGATGACATACGGCCTGCAGGTTTACAAAAAGAAGCCTCCCTCACCCCACGATCGTTCTCTAAAAAACAAAAAACAAAAAAACAAACAAACAACAGCCCGCCAAATTCGTCGAAAACTGGAAAAACATGACCGCCGTCGTCCGCCGCGTCGCCCCCGCCGTCCAGATCGTCTGGTCGCCGAATTTCGACTTGGACCCCGCCGCCGGCGGCGCAAACTACTGGCCGGGTGCCGACTACGTCGATTGGGTCGGCATCTCGCATTACTGGAAGTGTAAGTGACCCTCCCTTCACCCACCTCCCAACCTTGAGCTCATCGGACCCCAAACACATCTCCCCCTCCCCCCCCTCCCGCGAAAAAAAAAAAAAAACAGCCTCCCTCATGGGATACCCCGGCAATGTCCCCGTCCCCGCCGGCGACTTTTCCGGCGCCATCGACTACGTGTACAAAACCTTTGCCGTTGCGTACAACAAGCCGTTCGTGCTGTCCGAGGCGTCGTACGGCTGGGAGGAGCCGCTCAAGGGCGGCGCGTTTAAGGATACGGTGACGGAGCCGGAGGCGCAGAAGGTGAGAAAAGTTGGAGGTGTGGGGGGGACGGCGAGATATCTGACCGTTAAGGCGGGGGTATGTAGAGCTACTGGACCCAAGTGATCGACGCGGCCACGTCCGGGTCGCACCCGCTGTTCCGCATGGCGTTCGTGTTTGAGTACAAAAAGGTAAAACGCGGAAAAGGGGGAAGAAATGGGGGCGGTTGGTTCATTTTGTGCTTCCGACTCTGAAAACGGCCCTCCCCCCTCTTTCACCCCGGGAACCCCCAAAGATGGAAGACGACCTGTACCGCGACTTCCGCGTCTCCTGGGACCCCGCCGTCCTCGCCGCATTCAACGCTACCATCCAGCCCCTCGCCGCCGCGAACCGCCTCGGGACCGCCGGACCGTCGGCTGCCGCCTCGGCTACCGCCACTGCCACGCCGCCGACGACGATGCAGACGGGCTCGGCGGCGTCGTCGTCGGTGTCGGGGACGGTGGGGACGGGCGCGTCGACGAGAAGCGGCGCTGGACGCGGGGTGGTGTGGATGGAGGGCGTGCGCGCGGCGGTGGCCGTGGTGGCGGTGGCGGCGGTGGCGGTCGGGTTGGGGTGGTGTGGGTGAGAAAGGTACAAGGGAAGGGGGAACGGTTCCCCTGTGGCGGGACGTTGTAAATTGCACCTCGTGGGAAGTTAGGCCGCGCCTTTGCGGGTGTGAACTCCCTTCCGCCCCCCTTTGCTTGTTGGGTGGTGTATTTTGATGTTTCCCTTATTATTGGTACTGGAAAGCTGTGGGGTTTCCAGAGTATATTGACGTCATATTCGAGTTTTCGGAGGAAAAAAAAAAAAAAAAATTTCTATCGCCGCGAGTGAAATCTCCTGCTGTTTAACCACGGTATTTTGGAATCGTTGCTTTGCACTCCACAGGATGCGCTGCCGAAAGGGCAAAGTTTGGGAGCTGAGGTTAGTTTCAAATCTAGTAAGTCGCTAATCGAGGCAAAAGTCAGCTTCATGGTGTTCATGCCTGCCTCACGTCCATAAAAGATTGAACTGTTTTGACCGTTTCAACCCGGCCATCCTATATATGGGATTTTCCCCTCGTTTTTGTTTGACGGGCCACGCTGCTTGCTGAGTTGGGTTTCAAATTATCTCAAATCTATATCACTTGAAAGCCGTGCAAATGCGTCCCATGCTGCGGACGTCCGTCCCCAGCTCTGGTATTGAAGGGTTGAAATGCCATTCTTCTGGGGATCATTTGTGGCGAAAGATGGGGAATTTTCCCGATTTTATATAGTTTTCACTTTTGACAAATTTTATTCAGGCTAATGTCGCACCTGCAGCTTTGTGGGAAACGGGTTTTGGATAATGGCTTTGGTCATGATAGGGTTAAAGACTTTTTGTCAGGGACCTTTAAACACAGCTCCTGTGACGCAGTGGTAGCGTGTGGATCTTATGCCAGCTCCCGCTGACATGCCAGTCTGAAGCCGTGAGTTCGATCCTCACCAGGAGCATTGTTGCAGTTATAGTTAATGACTTTGCATTTACGATGCTCAATGAAGTTGTTTGGCAATGCGTTACTCAACCATGTCCAAAAATGTAGTAGATCCCACATCAGCGTTATTTCGTTTGTGCGACTGTGCATTTGTCTGCCAGCCACCAGCCAGCTGGCGAGCCCAAGACCCAACTGCTGGGTTTCATTCATTGAGATTCTGTTTTCCTTCTCGGCGATACTGCACTGGCATCTCAACACGGCCTCAAGGTTGTGTTAGTTTTTGGGTCTTTTTAGGGTAAGCAGGGTGCAGGAGCCTTGAGCACGCGCAATGTGACAGCCCCTCGACAGACCCGTCTTTCGGAGTGGGAAGGTGGATTTTTGGTGGTCATTACCAAATTCGGTAATTTAATATGGTTCGTGGCTGCCCGGTGGCTGAGAAGGGGGCTGGCTGAAAAGACTTTGGTTTTTTTTTTTTTTTTTTTTTTTTTCGTTTTTTGTTTCTCCCTCGTCGAAGACAGGCGAGGCGTCATCTCCGAAGAGACAGACATGGAGCATTTTCCCGCGACATGCTGGTGGGTGGGGTCTCTCTCTCCTCTCTCTCACTCTCTCACTCACTCTCTCTCTCTCTCTCACTCTCTCTCTCTCACTCATTCACTCACTCACACACACACACACTCTCTCTCTCCCCTCTCTGCCTCCCTGCCTCTTTCTCTGACTGTCTCGAATTCGTGGCTGCGGCAGGCTTGCAGAAGTTTGGTGATTTCGCGAGTGGCTGGAGATTGGGCCGTTGCATAAGAAGGGAGGGCAGAGGGAAAAGAAAAAGAAAGACGAGATAACAAAAGAAAAGAAGTTGAGAAACGATGGCGCCGCCCGAAGCCACCCGCCGACGCTGCCTCAGCCGGCCCTTCGCCGCCGCCGCCGCCCTCGCTCTCGCCGTCGTCGTCGCGGCCGCTGCCCTCCTAGCCGCCGCAACAACAACACCCACCGCCGTTCTCGCACAGTCCACCACCACCACCACCACCACCACCACCGCCGCATCGCCCCCGGCCTTCACCTTTGGCGCGTGGCTCAACACCGGCGAGTACCCCACCGACGTCGACTCCCCCGCCAAATGGAACCAGCGCCTCGGATTCCCCACCGCCGCCTTCCAGATGCGCATGTCCGTCCCGCCCTGGCCCGGCGAGCCGCAGGTCCTGCAGCCGTCCGACTGGGACGACGCGACCGATGCGGCAGTTTTTGTGACGGCGTGTGAGTAGTTGTGTGTGTGTGTGTGTTGGTGGGTGATCAGTGAGAGTGTGAGAGAGCGAGTGTGTGTGTGTGTATGTGTGTGTTGGCGCACGTGCGAAGGGGCTGGATGGGGCTGGTGAGTGCACCGGGATCATGTGGCTTGGGGGGTGGCCGTGTCGGAGTTTCAAAATATTGATGGGTGTCTTCTTAATCACGCTCCCCCTTTTTGTCGACAAAGACGCCGACTCGCCTGCGTACACCTGGCCCACCGACGCCGATCTCACGGCCATGGCGCAAAAGCTGCACAACATCTCCGTCACGACAAAGCGCCAAGTCTTCCTGCGCTACCTCCCCGAGATGGACGGGCCCTGGATGAACTATGGCGCGCAGGTGGGAGAACTTTGTCAATTGATTTCGCTTCCTGTCCCATCGTTTGCACTCACAAACCAAATCGACGGAAAAACGAAACGACCGAACGACCCGAACCACCGACGCGACGAAAACAGCCCGACCAGCTCGTCACCAGCTGGAAAGCAATGGCCGCCATCCTCCGCCGCACCGCGCCCGAAGTCAAGATCGTCTGGTCGCCAAACTTTGACGTCGCCAACCGCGGCGGCGCCGCCTTCTGGCCCGGCGCCGAAAACGTCGACTGGGTCGGCTCATCGCAGTACTGGAAGTCGTCCCAGATGGGATACGCGGGAAACGCCCCCGTCGACGACGGTTACGTCGCAAAGGAGATCGACTTTGTGTATAATACGTTTGCCGTCGCGTATAACAAGCCGTTTGTGATTTCCGAAGCGAGCTACGCGTGGGAGATTCCGCTTGGGGGCGGGAGCTTTGCGGATACGGTTGGACAGGTCGAGGCGCAGCGGGTAAGGCGTTTGTTTTTGTTTCTTATCTTGTACAACAGATCCTGACCCCCTGCACTACGCTAACAAACGAATCTCCAGGGGTACTGGTCGCAGGTTTTCGACACCGCCTTCCTCGACTCGCACCCGCTCTTCAGGATGGCGTTCGTCTTTGAGTACATCAAGGTAGCTGGCCTCTCAACCCCCCTGCCTCGCGCGGCGTCTCACCCCTCTCCCTCTCACAAAAACCCCAACGCCCCACCCAGGTCGAAGACAACATGTTCCGCGACTTCCGCGTCTCCTGGGACCCGTCCGTCCGCGCCGCCGTCCGCCGCAGCCTGCAGACCCTCATCGCCGCAGGCCGCCTCGCCACCGCTCGCAACGCGACCGCCGCTGACTCGTCGTCGTCGTCGTCGTCGTCGTCGGCGACGTCAATGGCGGAGCCCACATCGGCGACCGTGTCCACGCCCCCGACGTCCGCCGAGTCGGCGAGGCCGACGTCGTCAAAGAGCGGCGCTGTGGGAGGGCTGGGGCGGTGGGCGGCGGTGGTGGGCTGCGCGGTTGCGGCGGCGGCGGTGGTGGCGGTCGTTTGCGTTTGAGGCGTTCTGAGATGTTTTTCTTTCTTTTTTTTTATTTGTTTTTATAGAGCATCAGGCTTCATGGTTGGTCTCATTTGTTGCTACTCTATACGAAGTTAAAAGAGTCCCTCCCGCGGTCGCGGCTTGGGCGAGTTCGTGTGTGTGTGTGTGTGTGTGTGTGTGTGTGTGTGCGGGCCGAGGATGAATCATAACTGCATTTGAATGCCTTTCACTTCTTTTTCTGTTTCCGCGACAGTCCGACATGAACAAAGCGTTTGAAGGTAACGGCGTGGGCCGTCGGTGACAGAGGGCGTCGCAGTTGCGTGGCCCCAGCGGTACTTGGCGAGGTCAGCCCGGTGAACCAGTGGGCCTGGGCGTGAGTAGAGATCTCACCCACGTGGCGATGTGCAGGGATCCTGACCTCGGATAAAACACATTTTCGACTTGGCCCCAGGGGCGCAGCAGGCTGCCAGCAGACAAGGTATAAAAAGGTGGAGCTACAAAAACGTTGCCCCGCCGCAAATCCCCATCGCAACATGCCGCGCCAAAAGACCGCCCCCGCTGCCAACGCCACCTCCGCCCCGGCACGACGCAACGGAGCGCCGATCGCCAGCCGGCAGCCACCACCACAACGCAGCAGCACGCGGCGCACCACGGCCGCCGCCGCCTCGACCACACCCCCTCCGACCTCCGCCGCGCCGCCGCCTCGCCCCGCGATCCTCGTCCTCGGCGGCTCCTTCAACCCCGTCCACGCCCAGCACATCCACGTCCTCCGCGCCGCAAAACGCCACCTCGAGTCCCGCCAGGGCGAGGGCGGCGGCGGCGGCTTCCGCGTCCTCGCCGGCTACTGCGCCGTCACCACCCAGGACTACCTCGACGAAGTGCGCGCGGTCCAACCAGAAAGCCATGGCGTTCCGGCACCGCGCAGAGCTTGTTAGGATGGCGATGGAGAACCCGCCGAAGGCGGCCGTGAAGCGGTCGGCGCCAGGCGCGGATCATGGGTTTATTGGTGACGACGACGAGGAGGGAGTCGAGACCGTCGACGTCGACGGCGACGACGACGACTCATGGCTGGCGTCCCCGCGCGTCCCGCACACCTACACCCCTCACGTCTCGGCGCGCAAACTCGGCCTCTCCCTCCGCCGCCGCTGGCTCCTCGCCTGCGGCGTCACGGACGTCGCCGTCGTGGTCGTCTGGGGGCAGCGACACCGTGGCGGCCGGGCGGCACCGGTTCTGGCTCGCGGCGCAAGACGACGGCGTCTACAACGCGGTCGTCGGCCGCGCGGGCCAGATGGCCGCCCTCGTCGCCCGCCGCGACAGGGAGGAGGCCGTCCCCGGCGCGAAGCGGTGGAACGCGATCCTTTGCGCGAGTCAGGGGGAGGTCGGAGATATGAGCTCGACTAGGCTCAGGGCGGTGCTGGGGAGGTTGCATGCAGCGCAGGGGCGGGCGGGGAAGGAGGTGGTGGCGAGGGAGATTGTGGAGGAGGGGTTTTTGAGCGAGGAGCAGGTCCGCTATATTATTGACAATGAGGAAGATCTGTATGCTTGAAAGCGGGGGTTTTGGAATTGGAGGGCTGCGCACGCACCTCAAATATTATATAACAGCACAGACAATTACATACGCAGTTGCAACAGCTTGAACTCGTGTAATGCAGTTTGAATTTGATTGGGAGTTTTCCCGGTATAGCTCTCGATATGAATGGTTTGACTCCGACAGTCCGACTTTCGTATGCTGGCTTTGGTGGAAAAGAAGTTTGCAGAAACTGCCGTGGAAATAAAGGCCCGTCTGTGCTGCGAACACCGGAAAACAATGGGTGCGAGTGTTACGAACGTTAGACACATAGTATTTTTCGCCATCTTCTTTCCCTGTTTCCGTCGGCTCAAGTTAGTTAGTCGTTTCGCCGCCGAAAAAGCAGCTGCTTTCTTCAAATCATCCGGTGTGTTTGAGCACGAGGACGCCGACGCAAGTGGCAAGGTTCATCCGCTTGTTGAGCAAACCGCGGCCTCTCAGCGTTGGATTCCAGTGAGCATTGCAGCAGGTCTCTCCTCCACAAAGTCTGCGGTTCCATTCACCCGAGTTTAACCTGAAGGGCGACTTTTCCTGCATCCAGACGGAGAGGTTAAGGAAGGTTAAAAGTAGAAGCGCAAACGTCAGGGTGGTCGCTGTGCTTATCGTGCGACGGGGCGGGTAAATAAGGCGTTCAGCCTTATCGGCGTCCGAAAAGCAAAGCAGAAAATGGATTGGCCGGCAAGCCTGCTCGGCCGCCGAGGCCATCGTCTCCGCCGCCGCGGCTCCCCCGACGCGCGCGCCGACGCCTCGACGACGATGGCCCGCCGCATCGCCCTCCTCCTCGGCGCCCTCGTCC